CTGCTGCATGAACATACACTCACTGCGATATATAGTCATGGATACAACCTTCACCACCCCAATCCCCAACACAAACCAACCGATCAAACCGCCCACTTCCTGTCTGCCAGACGCACAAACATCACTGCTTATCACAATCAGACCCCGCAGTTTCCATGTATCGAACCAACAGACATCCAGCAATGCAGGGCACAATCAATGAGTGCTCGCAGGACAAGGTTTTCCCTTTAAAGTCCTCCTTATTCCTCTTTCTCTCATACATTATGAAGGGAATCTCAGGGATGATTTGCTGCCTGTCAAATCTATTAAGATGAGTCACATTACTCACGAGAGCCTGAGGAGGATTTTAACTAACACTTCTTACTCTGCTTCTAATCTCCCGAACAATAAAACCGTGTTACATCACGTGGGAAAGTGGATTATAAACACTCATCATTCCCTAATCGCTCCGTCTTCTAAAACGACACATATTTGCTCAAAATAATCAGTGTTTTAAAATGATTCTCTTCACAGCACCAAAATATACACAAAGATAGAAATACAGTTTCCATTTGGAATAAAAGTATCAGTAAAATAGGGTAAGAGGATCATATTTTATATAAAAGTCAAAACAAATAAACTTTAGTTTACAAAGCCACACACAAATCCATCTATCTATCTATCTATCTATATATATATATATATATATATATATATACATACATACATACAGTTGAAGTCAGAATTATTCACCCCCGTTTATTTTTTTCCCAATTTCTGTTTAACGAAGAACGATTTTTTTCAACACATTTCTAAACAAGTTTTAATAACTTATTTCTGATAACTGATTTATTTTATCTTTGCCATGATGACAGTAAATAATATTTTACTGCATATTTTTCAAGACACTTCTATACAGCTTAAAGTGACATTTAAGGGATTAACTAGGTTAATTAGGGTAACTAGGCAGGTTAGGGTAATTAGGCCAGTCATTTTATAACGATGGTTTGTTCTGTAGATTATAAGAAAAAAATTAAGCTTAAAGAGGCCAAAAATCTTGTCCTTACAACAGTGAATTAAAAACTGTTGTTATTCTAGCCAAAGTAAATCAAATAAGACTTTCTTCAGAAGAAAAAATATTATCAGACATACTGTAAAAATTTCCTTGCCCTGTTAAACATCATTTGGGAAATATTTAAAAAAGAAGAAAAAAATCAAAGGGGGGCGAATAATTCTGACTATAACTGTATATGTATGTATGTATATATATATATATATATATATATATATATATATATATATATATATAAA